CTGCTTTAAATCTTCCCTTAATTCATGAAACTTGTGTACCTCACCATTCTTTTGCTGTCAAAAAACGCCAGATTAAATTGATTCATGCTTAGGCCTTAAGAGGATGTGGCAATATTTGAAATAAGTAGCGCATTTGTTGTTCCCTCAGTGGCATCGAATGCCGCCCTCGAATCGTGTTTTTAGATATCGTACGTGTCCTTCAAAAGTATATTAACTCGAAAGTCCTCGCATAAAAAAATATTTCCGAGCCCATTTTAGGTTTTTTTTTTTTTTTTAATTTTCGGGCAAATGAGCGTAAGTACGAAATACTCTCATGAAAGTGAATAAATAGCAAAAAACCCATTTTCGTGCCCGAAACTTGACGTAAAATGCAACCATGTGCCACAATCGTATGTTTTTCGTAATTGCGAATTCTTTCTTGCTGGTTTAAATTTTTCCAGCAAGAGTTGGCAACTTCTCTCCAAGAGAACTTTCGCTTTGCGCTCTCAATTTTAAGAGTGATGGATAATTTTTTGCACATTTGATATTGCCTTTTTTAAGATATTTGCCTTATCTAACTATAATTGTAAAGGGCACGGAAAAAGCCCTTATTCCTGATAATATGAAAGTGTTAAACGTTTCATATTTAAATTTGGCGCCACTTGTATTAACTTACGTAAGCGCCAGTTTGGTACATTTGAAATCGAACGAAAATTCTGCCAGAAAACTTCAAAGTGCAGTATTTGACGAAAAAATTACATGGACGTCGATGTCGACCGCCATAATAGGGGCGATCTTCTACTCGAGAATACTTCTCAGATACGAACTGATTGGATCTGTGGCGCACTTGTTGCTAGAAATGAGTGGGACGCAATTCTGTGTACGTACGTACATACATGCATACATACATACATATATACAAGCAAACACATGTACAGTGTACTCTCTCCTAACGGACACCTCCAATAAACGGACACTTTTTTAGTACCAAAATAAAAATCCTTCGGGATTTTTTTATTTTCCCCTCTTGAGCGGACAACTCTCTCATAACAGGACGCAGCCACTTGTTTACCACACAAACGGGTATTTTAATTCCTCATAACCGGACAGCCTAGAACGCTGTTTTTTTGTTTTTGTTTCCTCTTTTCTATACAGCTGTTGCTTATTCAATAACACTTTTATGTATGGCAAAAAAAAACAGATTTGCCCAATGACGATAGCGGTTGGACCGCAGAAGATGAGCTTCCTCTATCAGCACTTGCTCAGTCCTCCAACGTTATTAATCAAGTTCAGAAGATGAAGAGTCTTGTTTAGCTATAAGAAAACTAAAAGCTTTTCTTTAAATCACAGCGATCTTAAGGGCGTTGACTACTTACTGATCTTCAAATACATAAAGATATTGAAATTAAAGGAAAAACTCGCAAAGCTAAAATTTCTGACTTCTTTTAATATTTTGAATATTTTTGCTTTTTAAATTCTCGAAAAAAAGTGAATGAAAGCCCTGTTGACCTTGTCTATTACTTATATGTTCTTATTTTGGGAATAAAACTGTTTACATACAGATAAATATATTACACATTTTCTTTTTTTACCTTTCTCCTAAGCGTACACCTCTCATAAGCGGACAAATTTGTCAGTCCCTCAGGTGTCCGCTTAAGAGAGAGTACACTGTATTATACATATGTATTTACATGCATACATATTCTGTATACAACATTAGGACTTTGAACTCTGACGAGTTTTGTTTTTGAGTTTGCAAAAGTGAATAAACAAATCAATAAGCGAAAAACCGAATCTAAGCATTGAGTAAATGTTTACATATGTACGTTCACAATTTGATATAGTCGCTGATATATATAGTGACAGTGGCGCTCACCTAAATAGCACACTTTTATTTTTTACAATATTCATAATGTTTTACGTGATACATTTTTTCGTTAATTTTATATAAAAATATTTAAACCATATAAGTAAAAGTTTATAACTTTGGGTACAGTTCAGGAAAATTTGACAAATTTCATAAAAATGTCAAAATGTGCAACTTTTTTCAGATTTTTTAGTAACTTATTGGGTGTGTTTGTAGCTTATTCAATTTTAGTATTAATAACCAGGTTTGAAAATTCAGAAAAATCCCGTCGATTTTTGAGATTTTTTTCGTCGAGGTGTTGCGTACGTTCTTCCATATAACAAGTAATTTTTAAGCAAAAAACAAAACCGACTTCAATTCTCATATAAAAATATATGTATATATATTTCATGATCCAATGATCGGATCTAAACCAATTAGACCACCTCTGAGACACTATCTCTCCGATGCAAAAAGAATTATCGAAATCGGTTGGCGTGGTCCAAAATTACGCGATAACATACATAAAAAAAAAAATATATATATATATATATAAAAACATAGAAACATAAATATATTCCAACGAACTGATAACCTCCTCCTTTTTTGGAAGCCAGTTAAAAATAGATTTTGTTCAACATGGGAGAAAATACGCAAACCATCGACAAAAAAAGTTCTCAAAAATCAACGGGATTTACTAAAATTGAATGAGCTACAAAACTGAACACCCAATAAATTTCTAGAAAATCTGAAAAAAAGGTTTAACATTTTGATGAAATTTTTTTCAAGTTTATTAAATTTTAAGTTTGACTTATACGGTTTATGTTTTAGAATCTACTATATTTTTATATAAAATTAACAACAAAAATGTATCACGTAAAACCCTAGTAGTCACCCAATTACATTTTTCTTCATATCTTCGGCACTTATAGTCGGATTTTAAAGTGTGATACACCAATGTTTTTGCCTCGCGGAGGGCGTTTTTCCTACGGAAGCTCATTGACCTCAAGTGCTCCATTGTGGTACTTACCCACCAGATCTCAGTTGCTACCACCCTAACGTACCGCCCTAATGACAGTAAATTAAATACCGTCAAAAATAGTTAATCTTTTGCGAAAGAAGTATTTCGATTAGTGCAGTAGAACCCAAAATAAAGCACATTTTATTGTGGTGTAGTGGTAAGCAGTGCGCGCTTTCAATCCTCAGCACCTGAGTTCAAGCCCTGGTCAAAGCAACATCGCAAAAAATATAGAAAAAGTTTTTTTCTTAACAGCCGTCGTTCCTCGGCAGGCAATGGCAAACCTCCGAGTGTATTTCTGCCATGAAAAACAGCTTGTCATTAAAATACAATCGCCGTTCGCAGTCGGCGTAAAACTGTAGTTCTCTCCCCTTTGGCGAGAACTTCAAGGCGCACACCACAAAGTCGGAGGAGAAGCTCGGCCAAACACTAACATACATATGTGTAAGCCAATCTATTATTATTGTTATTATTAAATGTTTTTTTTTTATCATTATTCGTTCGTTTTCACATATGTAAATCTATTTCGCCATAGCTAGTTTCTTCGTATTAATCAGTTTCCGAAGCGAGTCGGATTCAAATCTGGTCATCCTATTGCAACAGAAAAAAATTTACTTTACCGCATGTATGTTTTTAATACTGATGTGCGCAATGCGATAAGGAATCGGTAAACTCTTATGAACGATTAGCGTTTTAATGGCCGTGGACTTAAAATCTCCCACATTTTTATGACTGAGCATCACCGCTGGTCATTAACCGCTAACTGTTTTAAACACATCAAATTCACATTGATTGTCACAATCCTATTCGTGTATGTATGTATGTATATAGTATGTATGTATGTGTGTATATAGTACGTATGTATGTATACTATCATTATCGGCAAGACCGTATTCCTACCTTAATTGCCTGTCTTCCCTAATTTTTTTAACCGTTTTCATTAAATGAGTGTTAATTTGTCCGAAAATAAATGTGCTTTTAGATAAGTAACATTTGTCACCTTTCATAGAATTTTTGAAATTACCGTTGGTCAAAGTTGAGATAATGGAGAGAAATAGGGGATTTAAAATTTTACCTAGTTTCATATTTCACTCGAGCCACCCTCAAACTTACAGTAACTTTTTCGGATGTATTTCGTAATTTTTCTCGCACTGCAAGGTTGCAACCCTTCCCTTTTCAATCCATTTAGCGGCACATAAAGTAACGCCATTTTCTGATAAATTAATACAGTTGCAAAGCGTTATTGATATGTTAAAGTAAAATTTTTTTTTCTTAATTATTCGCTTTCCAATTAGTGAATTGTGGATGTACATATATAATTTTGCTTCGATCCTTATATTTCAACTAAATCGCAACCAAAATGTATCAATTCCAAAAATGCACCTGGCATATATGGAAAAATATTCACAAGATCAAAGCAATTCTAGGAAACGGATTTACATATTTCTTGTGGTTATGGACCTCCTGATATGAATATAATCATTGAGTATCATTTTATCAACTATCCTGAGTTGGACTCTAAAATTTTCAAGGTGAGGAAGAATAACTCAAGGATGTATTATTAGGTGCGTTCGTTTAAATTCTCCAGCAGAAACCAACCAATTGCCAAATTCCGGCGAAATGTCATCTGTTCTCTCACAAGAGAGAAATATCCAAAATAGTACGCGAACAGAAAATTTGCAGAAACTTGCAAGTTAGACGAACAGCTGATATAATTTTTGTTTACATACAAAAGTGTAAAATTTAAAACGTACGAAAAGTCGTCGCAAAGTGTTATACTGACACAATTTATTGATTAAACAAATAACTACTTATTTCTTACAAGTTTAATTAGTCGCATTTTGTAATTTTTATCTTCCAAACCATCAAATTCAATTTTGTGATTTGCGTAAATGCCAACCAGCTGTTTTTTATCAGCTGTTTCCCTGTTGGCAAACATTTTTCCAACAGAAACTAACAGCTTCCCCTCAAAATGAAATGTCACTTTGCTCTCTCAATTTCCCCTACTTTGCAAGTTTTTTGCGTACGCGAACGCAAAAACCTGTAAGTTTTGGTTAAACTTAAACAATTAACAGCTACGCGAACGCACCTATTTTTGCTAAAAAAAAAAAAATGGATTGAAGTTTTTACCTCGGGTGGAATTAAACACATGTTGCATTGCGTCAAGCAATTTATAGCAAAATAATTGTATTACTTTAGTATTTCAAGACAAGAAACAAATCACAAATTCTATATCCCGCAACTTTAATTATCGTTTACCACATCTTCTCCGCACTGTTCATGTGGGTCCTCCACTTCCTTACAGTCTACAGATGGATTGTTCCTTAGTCCCCGTATGCTAATATCATAAACCACCTCTTCAATTTTTTTCACGTCATATTTTAAGGCATCAAACCTCTTCCGCAACCCATCATTTTTCAAGTTGAGTAGACGAAAGCCAGAATTTAAATTAGCCATGAAGTGAGATATGTTTAGGGGGCGGTCATAGTCACCCATAGTTACTGAATTGGTTGCAAAGCGAGATAGTTCCGAAGCCATTTGTAAAATGCCCATTAAATAGTCTTCTATATCGAGATGGAAACCATCTGCATGATTGATTTTCACTGCCAATGGAACATACAATAATAATATTACGAAACAATCAATATTTAAATAATAATAGTAACACTTACGGCCCAACATTTCAGCTGCGATTTCTCGTTTTACTAAAAATCCTGCTTCTAAATAAACAACCATTGCAATAAGAAAAACTAGGCGCTGCGTAATATATGTCCAATGATCCGAGTATCTGAAAATATTGAAATACATATACATAACAAAGCGAAAACTTGTAATTTATATGGGAAAATCTCCGGAACAGTGCGATTCAAAGCTAAAAAACGTAAATTCTTAAATTGAACGCACAAAAATAAATTATACATCAAATTGTTTGAAATCTATTGAGGAAACCATGGCGGAAACCTGTTTATTGCGCCATGGAGGAAACATTAACTTCTTGTGTGATTCATTTTTCTCAAATGCTTATAGAGTTATAAGTTAAAATTGATAATTTTTGAAAATTAAAGGTTAGCGATTTCTAGAGGGTTTTTGTCCGATTTCAAAAATTTTCAAGACGTTATTTAAGAAGGTCAGGCGCAATGTGTATATCAAATTTGGTACAGATTGGTGAAGTGGTTTTCGAGATACAAATTTTACGAAAAACTAATTTTCGTTTAAGATACGTTGAAAATATAATTTTTGAGTATATATTTAAAAACTCGTTAACCGCACTGCCCAAATATCTGAAAATCCTTTATATACACAATCACATATATATTCATGGCCGTATTTTAGACAAAAAATATTTAATGTATTTAGCATTTTCAACGAACTGTATGAAGAATGTTATCCACATATTTTTCTCAACGCCAACATATACCGTTTTGCGCTGAAAAAGTTATACTCAAAAAACGTACAAATGGTACCCAAAGTTACACGTCTAAACTGTTATTTTAATTACTTTGATTGTTTATAAAAATTAAAATGACAGTATTAAAATAAAAAAATTAAATAAGCTACAAGAACTCGTCACAATTGTTATCAAAACGGCCCAAGTTTTTTTAAAAAGTAAAATTACATTATTAAAATTAATTTAAAGGTGGGGGACACAAAAGCACACGATTCCGGAGATTTGCCCATATAGCTAGAGCTTCACAGCAGAAATTGATCATTTCAGGGCTATATTCAGCTATAGATTTTATATATAGACATGTGCCCCGAAAGCCAAAACGCGTGAAGCTTTAGTTCGAGGATAAGGAATGATTGAAGGAAGGAAAATTTTTAATTATCTCAAACGTTTCAGGTTGGAAATTTGTTTACACATAGATATCGTCGTTTAAAGTACAAAACCGCGTATCGTGGTTCTGCAAAACATCGTAACTGACATTTGTGCCAAAAGAGATATATCCACACCGGAAGGCGCTGCCATCAAGCCCTTATCCATTCATACTAAAGTATTATAAAAAATTAGGGATAAAAGAGATAAACGTTTTGAAATAAGACAAGTTTTACTCTCTCCTATAAAATTTTTGCAACGGTTTTGCATTTTCTTGATACGCGGTTTTGTACTTTAAACGACGATTGGTGTATTACCTATAGTACTGTCCCACAGGAATTAATTCAGACAACTGTTTATAAATACTGGCACAAGCAGATACCTGCTTACGAGCTTCTTTACATGCATTATCAACTGAAAAGAAAATTAATTAACAATCAGCTTAGAATCCCAATAAGAATCATTACTCTTCGATAAGTCGGAATGAATGACCTGAAGTTGAATTGTAGCCTCTTTTGCGAGTTGCTCGATTTCGCGAACTTTTGTTCTGATATTCTGTGAATTAATAATATATATGTACATAAATTCGCATGATCGTATGACATGTGAAACATTCATTGAAATATTTGATAATTGCTTGAAATAACCTCTCGAATTTCCTGTTCGTTGTCAATATACTTCTGGTAATTTGAAAAAATCTCTAGATTCACAAAACTCGCCATGTTTGAAAGTACAAAAACTTGGAACAGTAAATATTTTTTTGTTTACGCTAATCCGGCTTTTTATAGCTTTGTTCTCTTTGAGATGGACCTACATATGCGATAAATGTATCGATAATAAAATGAATGTTTTGAAATATATTTACAGTGAGTTCTCACGCCACATAGTTACTACATAGCTTAAGTTTTGTTCTTTTATTACATTCCCACTGTACTGAAATCTGAGCTTTCGACTTCGAAATCTTAAAAACCTGTTTCCACCGCGCTTTCTTTGGATTTCGTTGACATTTGCCAATTGTGTTTTGGTTTGTGTGCGTTTTATTACCGGCTGCCTTTACATGATCGAAAATCTCGCTTGCGTTCTGCTTTTTTCTCTCGTAAGTGAGATAGAGTTTTGTTGTATGGGCATTTGACAGCATACTTTTTCATTTGCAAATATTGAGCTTTTGTCTATTAAAATATTTGTTATTATGTACTTGGATGTAAATAACCTATTTTCTAAAATTTTTAAGCGATTAAATACGGCAAAATCACGTTTTAGAAGCCATCTTACAAACGCTTAGGGCCGGTTGCTCAAAGCATGGTTGACACTAATCATCGGTTAACATCGTTATCGACATTTTCGACTCCATGCACATAACACGGTATCGGTAACGTCCCCTAAAACTATGTTCACATATCAATATTATCTCAATCAAAGCTCGCTTTTTAATCACCCCGTTTACACAGGCAAATCTCAGATTAATAGCCGTCAAATTTGTTGTGCTTGTTATTCTCACACCTCAAGGAAAATTTATGTTTCTTCTCTGTGCCACCGTGATCACGGTTTTCTGCTATAATAAGCAATATAAATATATTTTAACTTAACATTTTATTAAAAAATACCGTCAAATTTCTTGTGCTTGTTATTCTCACATCTCAAGGAAATGTTATGTTTCTTCTCTGTGCCACCGTGATCACGTTTTTCTGCTATAATAAGCAATATAAATATATATTAACTTAACATTTTATTAAAAATACCTTTACAAACCTCTTTTCCTTGCTAGCGTCCATTTTTGTTTACTTTTACATTTGGCATTTCTCCTCTTTTTCGCAAAAACAATCGATAAAACTAGGATGGACACCGAAAAGTTATCGGTTAAATCTGAGATTATTTAATAATTACAGATTAACAAGGGACGAATTTTATATGGCTAATCTCTTGTTATAATTACAGATTAGGGTGTTAAGCTCGAAAATGAGGCTAATCTACTTATATGTGAACCTAGTATAAGGACCGATTGTTCAATGTCTGGTTATCACTACTTCAACTACGACAACGAGACTGAGATACTAGCCGATCTGGGCGGAGTTGTTATGGCGGCTACAATAACAACAGTGGATATGATAACTTCCGTAAATATAAGGAGACTAATAATTTCATTTATTTTTTGCACATAAAAGTGTATCTTGAACTTTTTTTTCCAAAATGTGAAGATATAAAAACATAAACAGATGTCGGATGTACGCTAATTTGCCAAATAATATCTTAATACATTGGTTCATGAAAATTATTCCAAACGAAAATTTAAAAGTGATAAAAAAAACAGAACTAAATTGTTTTAAATTGAATTATTAAACTAGGTGCCTTCACAAAAGTGATAAACTCTTGATAAACTTGATAAAGTGATAAATTTATCATTTTGATAAATGAACTGTCAAACTTTGTATGGAAATCTATTTGACCAAAGTTTATCACTTTATCGAACGGCTTTGGTGGATAAATGTATAAATTTCAGCAAAATTCGACATTTACAGGTTGCCAGGTAGTCGCTTTTGCTACGAACACATAAAAGCAAATGAACGCAATAGACGAGGTAAGAATGAAAGTAAACTAGCCATATAAGTTAAATAATGAAACAGTTTTATGGAATTATTTACCAAGGTGCGTTCATGAAAGAATGCGGATAAACTGATTAATTTAAGTAATTTATCCCTTTATCACTTTAGATGAAGACCCCTAGTAAATTTAATTATTAAATTATATTAAAGGTTTTAAGTTCATCCCTCACTGTAAATACAAGTATGTGCAGATACACTGTGTGGTGCATTTGCCCTACAAGTCTTGCTAGTTGACTCGGGTTTACCACCACCAGCGGCTTTACTGTCTGGACTATTTTCACTATAAAGTCCATACGTTAATATGCAACCCTGTGCTGGTATTTGCGAGAACGTATTTGATCGACATAAACAATTAAAATACTGAGAAAGTAAAGTTAATCATTTTTAGTTGAAAATTGTTTGAATTGTTTATAATTAAAAATGTCTTATGGTGTGAGTATTTGCTGATATATCTTCATTAACAAAAGTAATAAATATTATTTAATAGGGTGGATATCCTGGAGGTCATAATCCCTACGCTGCACCTCCTGGTGCTTTTCCACCGCAAAACGCTCAAGTGTCTCCCCAAGCACAGCAATGGTTTAATATGGTCGACCGGGATCGTTCAGGGAAAATAAATTCCAGTGAGCTGAAAGCCGCTTTGATAAATGGCCGCGGCGAAAACTTTTCAGATAATGCTTGCAAATTAATGATTAGTAAGTGGATAATTATTCAGGGCTATCACTGAATCCGTCGTAGTCCGAAATTTCGTGAAATCTACGAAGATGCTATCACTGAATCCGAATAGCTATGAACGAAGCATACAGTTTGAGTGTATAGGTTATATTTTACAAAAATTGGACCACGCTGGGAAAAAATGAGTTAAGGGGAGGGTAGAGTGGATGGCGGCATTTTCGTGGCCAACTCAACGAGGTTCATATGAAAATTCTTTATGCATATCTGTGTACGTATGGAATAGTAGCTAATGTCTAGAAGCTGGCTTTAGTATAATGCGGCATTCCCTTTATTCTTTAAACGACAAAGAATTTTTTGATAAGAATAAGGATATTGACTTGCTAGCATCGGAACTATTTCTTGCACGTTTATCTGCCAAAAGTTCTTCGATGGCTCAGCCCCAATGAGTCATTCGCAATTGTATGCTGCGAATGCCGCATTATACTAAAGCCAGCCTTTCGACATAAGTTACTTTTCCGTTCGAACACAGATATGTACATACTTTGCCTGAAATACCTACGGGTGTTGTTACATTGGATACGAATTCGTACGAAAAAAAAATTTTTTTTTGCGAAATCGTGGTACTAGTTGGTTGCTTTGCTTGCGAATAATTAGTAAGGATAATGACTGTATTCGTACTAATTATTCGCAAGCAAATTAGCCAACCAGCGTCACGATTTGACAACAATTGGCATATAATGTACATTATACATTAATTTTATGTAATTTGCTTATTTGTTTTACTAGGTATGTTTGACAAGGATGCTAATGGTATGATTGATATCTATGAATTTGAAAAACTTTATGAATACATAAATCAGTGGCTAATGGTTTTTAAAACCTATGATAGGGACGGAAGCGGCTACATTGATGAAAACGAGCTGGCGCAAGGTAAGACATTTATATTTATAGTAGATTATGGGTTTAAACAAAAAAAATAATAATCACCTTGTGTTGTCTTAAAGCCTTCACTCAAATGGGCTTCAGATTTACACCAGAATTCATAAATTTTCTGGTAAAAAAGAGCGATCCCAGGGAGCACAAGGAAATTTCTGTGGATCAGTTTATTGTTTTGTGTGTACAGATTCAACGTTTCACCGAGGCTTTTCGACAACGAGACTCTCAGCAAAACGGCACTATAACAATTGGATTCGAAGATTTTCTAAGTATTGCAATTGGATGTTCCTACTGATGATAAAAAACAAGTTTATCTGTAGCATAATTCGCTTCAAACGTATGTTCTTTTCTATATATGTATGTATGTATGCATACATATTCAGGAAAATATTTACCGTCATTCCTCAAATGTATTTGTCTGATAAAACTGCAGTGTTACATATATGTACAAATCCGTTACTTTATTATTCACAAAAATCTGTATTTAAAGTTTTAAATTGTTTTGAATGGTTATGGTTGTTTAACAGCGTTATTTTTTCAAAACAGTAAAATAAATAAATAAATATTAAGAAATACAAAAGCCAGAAGCGAAAAAATTGTCTTTTCATATATGACGTCAAGTTATTGTTGTTAATAAAACGACGTGAAGCTCGGAGTTTGGAATTGTTTGGAATGTGCGTAGATTATGTTTCGGGTGTCTCCAATATTATCTTTAACTTTTGCTTCCGTAGAGTTAAGGCTCTGTTATGCATACTTGGCAGTGCATGCACAGCTATACAATTTTTACGTAGAAATCAAAAACCAACAGACTTCAGGCTCTGTTAAGGTGAAATTAGTCAAGAACGCAGAACTTATACTTAAACGCTGTCTGTATACGCAGAATTCTGTCGATTATACTGGAGCCCTCAGTGTTGCTTACTACAGTGTTGCCACTTATTAATGCGTTTTCATAAACTTACCTTTTCCACTACAATTTTTCGTGCTATAATAGATGCTAGCTAAATATAAACTACTTATTTTTCAACAAAAAACTTTATTCGATAGTAAATTTCAAATATTTTAAACATATTTTGAATAGGAACTTATAACTTTTTTACCATCTGCAAAACTGACGAAATGGCAACCGTCTATAGAAGGAAGAAATCAGCTGACACGGAAAAATCTAAACTCAACAACTACAGACAAATTCTGCGGTGTTGAGTTTTCATTTACATGGCGCTCTGGTAAGACAGATCGTGTCAGCTGACTCGGGTTTACGTACCGGTACGTTTACGTTCTTGACTAATTTTACCTTTATTCATACTTGGCATTGCATGCAGTGCTATACCATTTTTAAATCAACAGACTTCTACGTACGTAATGCTGTGCGCTGAGTAACCGCTTACACGCGAAGCTCATTTAACAGATTCCTTATGTGACATCTCTCAAGCAATGCCAAGTATGCATAACAGAGCCTTTATTCAGTTTTACACTTGCAGGTCTATTCTGGCTGGTAACACAAATTTTATAACCGGTAATTAAAGTGTCTGTCAATTTTTAAACCTTTTTCGCATTCTGTGCTCTCTTGTAACCGGTAAATTTGGTTACCATCTCATAAGCTGGTAACAAAATATTGCCCCGTGAAATAATTAATTAATAATTAAAACTCTTTTT